CATCCCTGTAGCAGCATCTTCAGGGATATTTCCATTTCTGTATTATTTGAGATGAACAAATAATCCTCTTCCCTCTCTTTAGTGTTACTCTCATGCACCAGTTCGTGCCAGGCTTCCATCCAGCCACATGAGCACAAAGTGCAAGCTTTTCTTAGAGAGCTCACAATACTGATAGCACGAGGAAGCATCTGCAGAATCCTCATTTCCAGATCATTTTTTGATCCATTATTGAAATCTGAGATCCCTGCACAGCTAAATCTGTATTTATCTCTTCAGTCCATGGCTCGTGACACGAATGTAATTTGTTTTGTTTCTGGCAGCTTGAAGATCATGAATATAAACCTTTAGATCCTAAAGATATCCGTCTTCCACCCCCAATGCCCCCCAGTGAGAGRCTCCTGGCTGCAGTTGAGGCATTTTACAGCCCACCATCTCATGACAGGCCTAGAAACAGGTAAGAGTAGGTATAGCCAATAAAATGGTAAGGAAAATGCCCTAAGAAAGTGTCTCAAACCACAAAATGCCTCTTTTTCCTTCACCTGTGTCTTGGTTCTCTTAATGCTCTTACTATATTGCAATTTGCTGTTTGATCTTGTCCTGAGATTTGCAAGACAATTTTGCCCAGACTCCTTGTTCCATTGAAAACATGGTGAATTTTACATCTGTGGGTTCTGTGGTTGATTTGTTGCAGTGAAGGATGGGAGCAGAACGGGCTGTACGAATTCTTCAGAGCAAAAATGAGAGCCAGGAGGAGGAAAGGTCAAGAGAAGAGAAATAGGTGAGAGATCCTGGGTGCTGTTCATCTGAAGGTGCTTGGGCTAAATGCAGAGGGGGATACGTGGGTGGGGATATGAGTTTCAGGGTGCTGGAATTTCTGTCAGATCTGCAGAAAATGGAATTGGCACAGGGTGCTCAKAAAAGCTGTGGCTGCTCCATCCCTGGGCAGGTTGGATGGGGCTTGGAGCCCCTTGTCCAGTGGAAGATGTCCCTRCCCATGGCAGGGGTTGGGACTGGATGAGCTTGAAGGTTCCTTCCAACCCAAACCGCTTTGTGATTCTATAAAACAGTTTTTGTCACACTCAGATTTTCACTTTCACTGCTTTAAGGTTCCTTCCAACCCAAAGTGCTTTGTGATTCTATAAAGCAGTTTTTGTCACACTCAGGTTTTCATTTTCACTGCTTTTATGTATGATCTGAATTTGATCAGAAGTAGATTTGTGTTTCTGGTGCTTCTCCACGGAATCTCAGTGAGTTTCTCTGCTCTCTGCAGTGGGCCYTCTCGGTCTCGAAGCCGGTCTAAAAGCCGAGGTCGTTCATCTTCCCGGTCTAACTCACGATCCTCAAAATCATCGGGCTCCTACTCGAGGTCCCGCTCTCGCTCYTGCTCCCGCTCGCGATCCTACTCCCGCTCGCAGTCCAGGTAAGGCTCAGAGGGGCTGATCTCAGGAATTGGGGAGTGGGTAAAACCCAACCCTGAAGGCTAAGCCCAGGAATTGTGGTGCTGCTCTGCTCACTGGTGTGCTCTCTGTTTCAGGAGCCGGAGCAGGTCCCGCTCCTCTCACAGCCGCTCGCGGTCGCGCTCACGCTCCAGGTCCAAGTCGTACTCGCCRGGAAGGCGGCGCCGCTCGCGCTCCCGCAGCCCCACTCCTCCGTAAGCTTTGCTCTGGTGCTCTCCTTTCACTGGGGCTGTTTAAACAATGGTGAAAAGTGGTTGGGGGCAGGGCAGGGTCAGGCTCTTCTCTCAGGCAACAACTCACAGAAGGACACAGCCTTAAATTGCGCCATGGGAAGTTTAGTTTGGACATTAAAAAAAATTTCTTCACTGAAAGGGTGATAAAACCCTAGAATTGTGTGCCCAGGGAGGTGGTGGTGGGGTCACCATCCCTGGATGTGGCACTCAGTGCCATGGTTTGATTGATGAGGAGGTGTTGGGCCATGGTTTGGATTTAATGATCTTGAAGGTCTCTCCCAGCCTGGTTCATTCTGTGATTCTGGGAAAAGCATTTCAACAAAGAGCAGAAAAGATGATGGAAAGCAGATTTAGAAACAATTTATCTGCTCTACGTGTTTATAGAGAGAATATTCCTCAATTGGGTGGCTTTTTATTTCAACAAAACAGCGTGCAGCTGTGAAGTCTGCRTGCACCTTCCTTGGGAGCAGGAGTCATTCTCTGAGTGCTCCATTGGGAACAGCACAGTGTTTATTTCCTTTGTGCTGGGAAGGTTTCTAGCACCTCAGTAAATGCATTATCTAACACCTTTAATACCTCAGTAAATGCATTATCTGACAGCTTTAATAATAGGAGAGTGGATGGAATTGTGTTTTGTGTTGATGCAGAACAGACTGACTGTGCTTTGTGTCAGAACAGTATCACTGGTTCTTGATTTGTTGTTCTTATCTTCTTAGTTCTTCTGCTGGTTTGGGCTCCAGTTCTGGGCCTCCTATACCAGAATCAAGACTTGGAGAAGAAAATAAAGGTCATCAAATGCTAGTGAAAATGGGTAAGATGCTGTTGTAGAATCTTATGCAAGCCAGGAAACAAAATTAGACCCAAAGCCTTAGATACAACTAATTAATGCATGTTCATAAGGAATTATTCCTTGGCATTCCAAGGTTTGCATAATGATATGCAGAGATGTAAGAATCTGGAGCAGTGATAGTTGCCTTTCTGGGAAAGATACAGAAGACAGGATGTGAGTTTGGCTCAGCTAGAACTGACTTAGCTGAGGTGATTAATCTCCCTGCACTGCAGGTCAGCAGGGTTGACCAGATTGGGTTTGTGCTGCCTTTCCTCTTATCCTCCYGAGAGTTTTTAGGGACAGTGCTGCTGTCAGCTCCTGGAATCTCTGCTTATTAATGCTTGTGAAAGAAATGGGACAGTTTGTGTGTTGTTTCAGGCTGTCTGCTCCCATCCTGCTCTATCAAACCAATGCTGTCTTTGGTTGTTTCCAAAATGTCCATGTTTGTTTTGCAATTCTGGTAATAAAAAAAAACAGGATTACAGTGACAGGATTGCAATGTTGTGTCCTCACTGCAGGATGGAGYGGATCTGGTGGATTGGGAGCCAAGGAACAAGGAATTCAGGATCCAATTAAAGGAGGAGATATCCGAGACAAATGGGATCAGTACAAAGGAGTGGGAGTTGCATTGGACGACCCTTACGAAAACTACCGAAGAAATAAAAGTTACTCCTTTATTGCACGCATGAAGGCCAGGGATGAATGTAAGTGAATATTTCTCAGCAATTTAAAACCTGTATGGATTTGAAGGTGATTTTTTGTAAACCTAAATCAAAATATCAGTACCTCTTAATTCCTTCTAATGTAATCGATACAGTAAAACAACAGGTAAGTGGAGRTGTACTCTGATTAACCTAGCATTGTGTTGTGTTTTAATTTCTGAAATATTAATTAATTAGTGTGGTCTGTGTAAGCCACTCCCTGCATTTCCATCTTAAAATGTTGCCCCACAAAAACTCAGAGCAGTCACAAAGTTAGTGGAGTGCCAAAGCCAGAACTGATAATAAATTCCTTGTAGTGCAGCAAGGGTTCACAAAAAGTGGAGTTCATTATAAGAGATGAAAACAATTACCCAAATGATGGATTTTTGCAGACAGCCTGTGACACACTGAACATTGGCATTTAGCAACAGCTAAAAGGAAAAAAAAAACTGGCACGCTCAATGAAATGTCAACTTCTAGATCTGTGCAATCAAATGGGTTCAAATATAGCCCATAAGGAAAAATTCCTTATTAGCAGAACCCTCGTTCCACAGAACAATTTGGGTACCTGTGGAATGTGTAAGAACTCTTTTCCTCATTGTTTCAGTGAAGTGTGAAACACAAGCCCCTCCACCACCCGGATAAGCCTCTTTGAAGAAAGATGTGTTGCATCTTCTACAAAAAAATTAAACTTGTAGAAATCCTGATTAAAGTCTGGAGGAAGTGACAAATTGATTACTTTTAAAACTATGGTGCAAAATGGAAAGCTATGACATGTACTTCAACACTTTTCAATGAGTGCTTCAAAAAGGCCTGTTGTTACTATGACATGTCTAGCAAGTTAAAAAAATTTCCATTTATCTTGCAAAACTTTTTAATTCCCCATTTTACAGTAGAATTAAACCCCAGTCAGGCTGTTCCTGGTGCAGGATTGTACCTTAATTAATTAATTAATTAATTAATTCCTGTGGAATACAGACATTATCTGATGTGCTTGCATGTTCTCTAGTTCCATAATGTGTATTTATTTCTCTCTAAAGGTTAATTTGAAGCGGAGGGGTGCTGCCTTGGGATCAAGTCAGACTGATGGCTGAGCAGTGTATCCTAATGTCTAAATGGGGAATGAAGCATCTCTAGTTCCAGTGCAGGTGATCTCTTGAGCACTGTGCCAGCTTCTAGAACCTTCCACCACCTCCAGGCCCCAGCCAGAGCTGCTGCAGCCACCACTGGGGCAGGACATGAGGGGCAGTTCTTGGTGGCTTTCCCAGCGCTCTGAGGGCCGGGCGATGCTTTGTAACGGAACACAAGTCTTGGAGCTTTTTCTATTTTTGTATATACCCTTTAATAAAAGCTGATTAGTTCAATAGAAGAGAATCCATTTTCTCTGCTCAACACGTTTCTATCGATGAGATGTTCTTGGAAACTTGAGGTAATCAGAATGAAAACAGAAACAAACATTTTGTAACTGTTTCCAGAGACCACCAGCTAGAGCTGTTAGCCCTTACACTGCATTTCCACTCCCCAGGTCTGCGTGGCAGTTCCCTTTTCCAGTTGTTTGTATTGCAAAAACCCTCTTCAAACCATTTCAGTTCATAGGGTGGGATGTCAGTTTGTTCTAGATCTACTGTAGTTGTGGAACTGTACCTGTCTGTGAATCAGCATACACCACCTGTATGTTACCAACTTGTGAATGTTAYTGTTTTGCCTTCCAATAAACACTTTTTTTAAAATAAAAAGGTACCTCAGAGTAAGTGGATTCCTGTACCTTGACTATAAGCCTGCTTTTTCATAATTTATCTTAATTTAAATTACACACTCCAAGCTTGGGAGCTGTGTTTGGGTTTGTTGTAATCTGACAAGCCTGATTATATAGAAACACTGTTTGGATAATGGCACTAAAGTCAGGATATGATAATTTTCTGCTGTGGTCACATTTCTGGGGGCTGTAGTGCAGATTTTCTCTTCTGCCACAATCACAGATGTGATCACAGATGCCACAATTTGCAGGATAAATCTGTGCACCATGATGATTTATCATCATTCCATTACAGAGAAGTGTTCTCTTGATTTCGTTTGAGCTGACATGGGCTGGAGATTCCTGCCTATCCTTGTACTGCATACACAAATAAAAAATTCAGGTATAAAAAACTAAATTATATACAATAATTAGCAACTTGTACTAATTCATACTAACATAGCAATTTGTACAAATCCTTCCACTACATAGTTTGTAACCTTTTATCTGTGCAGCTTGGAAAAGTATCTTRTTTCAGCCTTAGAGGTGTAAATATAAATGTTACTTAAAGTTCAATAACTGTCCAAGCAGTTATCCTGGGCTCTCCGAATTTCTTCAAGTGCTTGTTCAATTGTTAGAGGTGGGGATTTGTGATTCTTGATGTACTGAAAAACAAAAAGTTATTAATAAAGAAAGCATATTATGTAATTATTTATTAAATAATAGGAAGTAACTAATTTTCATGTCAAGATACCTGCACTTTTCTGTACTAGCAACAGAAAATGACCCTCTTGTTGCAGCATCTGAGAGATCCCTGCTCCTTTGAGGACAGCTAAATACCACAGCAGAAACATTAATCTTTGAAAACTATGGCATCCAGCAAGACTTTGGGTTTTTTTTTCCTAAGCCTATTAATTAATTATATGCAAAGAAATATGCTAAAAATGCCACAAACTTTTGCAAAGGAATGTATGTTCAATCTCTGCTTTGTCATAAATACCTCTTTAGCCTCTTCCAGGGTATGGTAGTGGAACTTCTCATCCTCCAATGACTCCACCAGGGATGTGTGAAGGTGGTGAASGTTCTCTACAAACTGCTGGGTCAGCATCAGGTGCTGCTTGCACATGGATTGTAAAACCAGAACCGAGGGGCTGTAAGCAGTCAGGGCTGTGAGAAACAGACAGGACTGTGGTGAGGCAGCAAGGCCTGGATCAACCAGGCTGGGTTTAGGAGCAGAAAAAAGAGTGAAAAAGATTAAAGTTGTTTTTAGTACCTTCTACTGCATCCATGCTGATGATGTGACTGGCGATTGGCACTGGATCCACGTAGCTGGTTCCAACAGGAGGGGTGAGCACTGCTGAGGGGGTTGCTGTGCGTAGACAACATCACAATTATTGAGAGAGTGCAGAGCTTTAGTGCTACCACCTGGTGCTTCTTCAGCAGTTTCTTGGGACAGCAGTGCCCTAAAAGCACTGTAGAGCCTGGAGAGAATTCACTGGAGAAAGTTAACGGGAGAATTCTGTCAGCCAAAAAAATGTTGACATAATTTTACATGTTTTGCATGTAAAAAATGTTTTACAGCCTCCACAGTTTTTTTACTCTTAGGCTCACATGACCATTGCAAAGGCACCTTTCCTAACCCTAGGCAGAGTGAAAAATGAGACTTTTGTACTCAAAGAATGCTTCTGTTTTCAAGCACACTCAAGTTTCTACTTTCTCCTCCAGTGGGGTATGGAATGATCATTCTTAGCACTTTTCCCTTTAAGTAAAGAGGTGTAGGCAGGAGCTCCCCCTCAAGATGTGAAATTTCCCTTCTGATCCTGTCATGGGGCCATAATGCTTTCCCAAGAGACAAATACAATACAAAAGCACTCTGTGATGAGCCATCAGTGCTGTTATTCACAACAGTAAAGATATCAGAATATTGAATTCCATTTGAGAGTCCTATTCATGCTGTCATCAGTTCTGCTGCTAACACTTGCTCATCCAGCCATGGGTCCTGCAGGGGGTATTTTTATGCAAAAAAACCATTTCTTATTACAATATTCAATGCCAATCTTTACTGTAGATAGCAGATTCAAGTGTTGGGCTTTAAAAGTTTCTTTACACACCTGCAGGGTGTATTTTTAAGCAAAAACCCTTTCTTATTACAATATTCAATGCCAATCTTTACTGTAGACAGCAGATTCAAGTGTTGGGTTTAAAAGATTTTTTACATACCTGTGGGGGGTATTTTTAAGCAAAAATAACCTTCTTATTGAATATTATAATGCCAATCTTTACTGTAGACAGCAGATAAAAGTGCTGAGCTTTAAATTTTTTTTTTAGTGTCAATGAGGGGAAGCTGGCACTGAAATGAACTCTTATCAAGGCTGCCTGGGCTGGCACATATAAAAGTGTAAAATCTGCCTGGTTAGGGCAGTAATTGTGCTGAACTCACCCTTTGCCCAGCTGTAGGTGAACGGAGGCTCTGCTGTCTGAACCCCRGTTTCTGTGACAGTCACACAGTGCMCACGGCTGTGCTGCTCTTGGGTGACCMWCGGGGATGGCACTGAAGGTGAGTGYKCTCCAGAACCAGTGTGGCTCTCACATTCCCTGTCTGTTGTAGACAGAGACGTTTCAAAGTCTTCAGAATATTCTGAATTAAAAGTTCTCTCATCCTCATTAAGATAATCCTGTTYGTGTGCTGGGAAATCGGAGGAAACTCCACTTAAATGTTCAGAGATTTCAGCTTCAGTGATGATTTTTTCAACATCCTCTTCAGGAGAATCACTCACATCAGTTACTGCACTGGTCCTTTTARGAGCAGCTTGGTCCTCTTCCACCARCAAWRTATCTTTTTTCACATATTTSTTTGATTCTTGAGTAWCCTGGATGTCTTTTCCCTGTAAAATTATTTATTTTAGAACTTCACACTCCATCAAACAAAGGCAGACTGGGAATATATTCTAGTGGGGAGTTCCTACTTACTTTCTGCTTTAATTCTGCTGYTGTACTGGTAATATCTGGTGCCAAATCATCAAGGCTCAGGACATTCAGTCTGAAAGCTGCAAACAAATGACACAACGACATGAGAATTGGCATAAAAATACAGTGCACTCTTCTGTGAGAAAAATGGAAAAAAATCAATATTACCTTCCTAATTTAGTACTAAAARTAGCAATCAGTCACTCTGATTCTTTAACTTTGCAGAAACTCCTAAAATTTCCTCCTTTGATCTGCTGACTGAAGTTCAAGAGATTTTTGCTGCCCCTCATTTACAGCTGTTCTCACTCTGACCCACTGSTACATGAAAATTATGTTGTAATGTTGTAATTGTTTTGATATCAGGGCAGCATCATTAATACRAACCCACTGAGTCAAAAGCTAGGAAAAATATAAACCTAKCACTAGAAAAAAGAAACAGATCAAGATAATTMCTTTGATAGGGCCCTGGTTTATGTAAAATTTCACTTTCAAAGTGACTATTTGCCTATGTTAAGAGAATTTATMAGTACAACTCATACTGAGGCTACTGAGACAGTATTTTAGAAAACTTACATTCTGAGCTGCTGCTGGTTGGATCKTCTGCATCAGCTCCTTTTGAAAATAATTCATCTAATGATTTTATTTCACTTGTATCACTTTCCAGGGATTTTTGCCTTTGCTTGATGTAGCGTGCTTTAGGTGGAGTCATCTTCACAGTGTTGTCTTTCATGGAAGAAGACAATYGAGATCTCATGGTATGTCCTGGCAGGTTTCTGCTGGTGGGTGAAGGTGCTGGTGATTTAATTCTACCAAACCCACTTTTCTCTGAGTMTTTGTTGTGAAAAGAAGATGCTTCAGATAATTCTGCTGGTGGAACTTCCTCATGAGGTGGAGGAGGCCTTGCTGATGGAACTGGGGTCTTGCTCTTTTTGAAGAACATGGAAAAGAGATTTATGTGTTACTTCACTGTTATGTGCAGATTGCTAAAGRGAAAACAAATCATTGTGGGTAAAACTGAGAATTTTGAGATGTTAAGATGTGAAACTCAATCCTATCATGAGCAAGACACAAATGCAAATTTAAAATTTAGTTGYTGGTGTTATCTAAATAAAGTGACCAACCAATTACAACAAGTATATAAAAACATTAATAAAAATACATAATCCAGCAAAGTTTATGTTTACCTTCTACCATGCTGAGTGTCACTTACCAGAACCTTCTGTTTCCCACTTCCACTGGAAAAACCCAAAGAGCTCCCCATCAGTTCTCTCATTTCCTCTTCATCACTATCCAAATCAAGGTGTTGTTTAACCAGAACATTCTTTTTAGGGCTTTGGATGCTTTCCTCTTCCTCAGAACAGGCATCCCTGCGTGTCCCATTAGCACTGGTGGTACCATAATTCTTCCAGTACTTCTTGCCCCTGGCACGTTCATGCCCAGAGGCAGATGAGGAGCACTCCTCAGCTGAARGCTTCAGGCCCGAGTCGGTGTTCTGCCGTTCCAGGTGCTTTTTTTGGTTCATGATCTTGCTTTCCAGTTGTGCCACTTTRCTCAGAACCGAGCTCAGCCGGGCGTGGGAGGCGCTGCCCGCAGTGCTCGGGGCTCCACGGCTGTTCCCTCCCGGCATCTGACACCGCTGGGTCCCACCGGCGTTTCCATCGCACACCTTCAAGAACCGGCCCCGGCGGGATGGAGCTCTCCCGGTGTTCTCCAGCTCTGTGTCCTGTCTCAGGGTGCTGGTCCAGCGGGGGACATGGCTGTGGCCCTGCCAAGAATCACAGAGTCACCGGCGTTGGAAAAGAATTCTGATATCATCGAGCCAACCTGTGACTGATCCCACACCTTGTCAACCAGATCAAAGCTCCGAGTGCCACATCCATTAAACATCTCCAGGGATGGTGATTCTGCGAGCAGTCCCTTCCAATATCTGACCACCCTTTCTGTGAGGAAATTCTTTCTGATGTCCAACCTAAACCACCCCTGGCACAGCTTAAGACTGTCCTCTCATCTTGTCGCGGGTTCCCTGCCAGCAGAGCTGGCCCAAYCTGGGGTTTTACAGATCCCTCCCCACACAGGACGCAAACACCGGCCCGGGCCGCGGCTGCCCAGGTACAGACCGAAAAAAGGAGCCGGTGCCTCACCTGCCCGCGTCCCGCGGGTGCCCGGGAGATCGCGGCCATCCGAGACAGAGATGAAAAGAGCAGAACGGCCGGGATCGGGACGGGCTGGGGCGGGATAGGGTCGGACGGCACAGCGCCGGGTCCGAGGCGGCGGCGGCTGCTCCGTGCCCGGCCCAGAGCGGCGATGTGAGGCCGTATCCGGGAACCCGCCACCCCCCAATATCCTGCCCATTGATTGGCTTCGCGCAGAGCGCACTGGCACCGCCATCCAATCCCAAGCAGGTTTACTGCCACCGGCACAGGGGGCGCCGACTACAACCCCCAGCATGCACCGGGGTCAATAAATGCGGATTTGTACCAACCTCCCCCCCTCATTTGCAAATTATTGGCGTGAGCTGGGAATTAATCCAGTTGTACAGCAGGATTTGTGTTAATACCCCTCACTGAAACAACATATTGTAGGYTATTACCTGCCCTTTGCACTCGTGTGTCCTTTCCAGTGACTTGGTGAAACTTGTTCTGCGTGCGTCAGAGTGAAATTTGACATTAGGTTATCTAACATCATCATCTAGTTGTAATGTCATTATATACCTATTGAGCTTGTGCTATGGATCATTTTTATTTTGCCCAGTTTTTTTGTTTTTCTGGATTAGTTTTCTAGTACTTTCTAGCGTTACCATTCTGCTGCGAGGCAATTCCTAAGACTTAGGTTTAAGGGTCAAATTCTTCTGCTTCTGCTTGGCCAAGAGCTGTAAAAGAATTCTTGCCATGCTTTAGGGTGAAGAACTTTTAAAGCTCTGAAATACAACAACAGTTGCACAGCACTTTTTCTTTGCTGAACGGATTCCTGTTGATTTAGTTTTATGGTCACGGTGATCCAGCCTTGGTCAGGCTGCTGCTTAGGATTTCCACTCTGCACTCAGGGGTTTGTTAAAATTGGTGTTTTTGATGCCGAAAATTTGATCTTAGACCAGAAGCAGCTTCACTGGGGATGAAGGACCTTCAGTGGATGACAGGGTTGAGATATGAAGTTGATCAAGGGACTGGAGGAAAGAAGGAGGAAAGGAGGAAAGGAGGAAAGGAGGGAGCTGGGGTGTTCAGCCTTGAGAGGAGAGGCTGAGAGAAGATCTCATCCTCTTCTGTCCCTGAATGCAGGGAGGGCTCCGAGCATGGACCAGACTCTGCTCTGTGGGCCCAGTAATGGGACAAGAACCTGATGCCCAAGAAGTWCCACCTGAATATGAGGAAGAACTTTACRGTGAARTGATSGAGCACTGGAACASCTTGCAATCCCTCCCTGGAGAYATCCCAGAACTGTGCGRACACAATTCTGTGCCATGCTCTGSGATGGCCCTGCYGGAACYGGKACMAGCTGACCCACTGYGCTCCATCAAACCTCGCACTTTTTGGGGATTTTGTGACTTCCCAGMGAGGTGATGGTGGTGGAATCCCCATCCCTGGAGGCGTTTAAGGAACGATAGACGTGGCACTCAGCGCTCCGGTGCGGCTGTACACGGCGGTGATCGGTCTCAATGCTCTGAGGTGTTTTCTGTAAGGAAAATTAATCCGCAAGCACCAGAGGTTTATGTCCAAAAAGGAGACAGAGGAGTCCCGCAACTTTATTCATGAATAAAGGGAGAGGTYATGGGCATTTCYCATGGGGTCTCTCAAATTCATAGAGGACACAGCCTCCTTTTATCCCAATTTCCCGGCCGCGGGTCCCTCTTTCTTTCCCCGTTGGCTGAGGTACTTGAAAGTTACAGGCTCCCCGAAACGCCTGATAAAACCCCCCTTCTATCATAAATTGCCTTCCCCCCTTCAGTTTACATCTCTGTGTCTCTGCTCTGGTAGTTTAGATAAGCCAAACGGTGGAACCCCCACGGAAATCCTTCCTATTGCCTCCTCTTTATCTCCTAGCATCAGCCCTAAGCCTCATCTCACCCCAGAGCCCAGAGTCCGTTTGTAAAGACACTTCCTTCTCCTTTCATTTCCGTTACCCACCATCCAGTGTCTCTGTGGAGCGCTAACAGCGGGGTCGGAGCCCTGATAACACCGCTGGAGGATCCACCGCACCTCCCGAGCCGCCGCCGCCTCAGCCTTTCATTTCCGTTACCCACCATCCAGTGTCTCTGTGGAGCGCTAACAGCGGGGTCGGGGTCCCGATTATACCGCTGGAGGATCCACCGCACCTCCCGAGCCGCCGCCGCCTCAGCCTCAGCCTCAGCCCCGCCCGGCCCGGCCGCGCCGCCGCCTCCCGCCCCTCGCCCCGCCCCGGCCGCGGCCCGACCCAGCGGGAGGAAGATGGCGGCGCTCATCCCCCTCAGCCAGCAGGTACCGGGCTGCGGGGGGACGCGCGGCCCTCAGCGCCGGCAGCCGGGCTCGGGGAGAAGCTGCGGGGCTGCACCGTGAGCGGCTGCGGTCGGGCGGGGAGTGGAGCTGGGTGCGGGCCGTGCGCCGGGAAGGGCTCGGCCCGCCGGGGGATGAGGGTCGGGGCGCGGCGGGGAGCGGGACACGGGCGGGGTGAGGGCGGTGAGCGGGTCCTGCCGTGTCCCGGAGCCGGGCTGGGAGCTGCTGTGGGGGCTGTAGGCTGCTCCGGAGCCGTCCCTTCATGGAGGCCTCCCTGGGGAGGGGCTGAGGGTCTCCAGGCGCTTTCCCACCCCGAGCCGCCGGCATTACCGGCATCACCGCGGGCCGGGGGGTTTGGGGGACAGGGCTGGGGCTCCGCACATCGCCCGTGTTTTCCTGTCCGTGCCGGGGGGTTGATGCTGCTGGCAGCTCTGGGCTGTTGTGACAGGGTGTCGTGGCTGTGCGGGGCGTTCAGGGGCTGTGAGAGCAGCGGGGACACCGGGAAGGGTTTGGGGGATGAGCCGGAGGTGTTCGCCCATCAGGAAGGGGATGAGTTCTGCAGGGCACACGTCCCTGACCCTTGGGAGAGGCTGTTGCCAGCTCTGGTTGAATGCTTGGGATCTCTGGGTTGATTTCTGTTCGTTGCAAGTTTTTTGGTTTTTTTTTTTTTTGATTGATTTCTCACCCAAATAATTCAAGCCTAAGCGGTGTGATCGCTATTTTTTCCATAGCCCTGTGAAGACAATCAGTTTACTTACTTGCTTTAAAGCAAAAGAAAAGCAACACCACCCCACTACCCTCAATGCCTTGCAATTAAAACTATTTTCCACATTGTGGCTAGGCCAGTCAGGAATTCAGAATTACTCCTAATAGTAGTTCAGATTATTTAAATGTATCAATTTCCTTTTAATAATGATCTTTTATTTGCGATACTCTGAAAATGTGTCTCTCGATGGAGTTACGTGGTGCTTTGATAGCGTTGCTTGCTGTGTGTCTTACTATGAACATGTACTGCTGTTGAGCTTCTGAATGGCAGGAGTCCTGATTAACAATCTGTTTAATTAAATGAACATAYCCAGAAACATCTGAAAACATCCATGTGCACACAAACTGTTCTCAAAATTTTTCAAGTGACTAACGTGGTGCAAAATATGTGAGTCAAACTCTGGATGTGAAAGAGTTTGTAGTTGTGAGACTTCTTTTTAATACATTGGCAAAAATCAAATAATTGTCAAATATTTACTCTAGAAATCYAGGTTCTGTGTTGTTTAAATGCTCATTGATATTTGAGAGGATGGCATCAATGATATTCCTGTGGATAGGAAATGTTATGTTTAGGGGATAAAGGAACACATTCTGTAAACATATCAGTTATTTTTATAACATTTTCCAACCAATTCAATGGAAGCATTGTAGTTTTGAAACTTGTTTTCCTACATTGAACTGTCAAGAGTAATCTAGCTGTAATCAGGGCAGTAAACAGAATTTCCCTTCAAGTAATAAACTTCCTCTTTTAATAGCCTCAGTTTTGTGATTACTAAGGAGATGTGTGTTGTAGTAAATGCCTGAAATGGAATTAGATGGAATAGGACAGAGTACATATGTTGTAATATTAAGGCCTGTCCACTCAGAAAGATGTAAAATAAGAATTTTTTTATACCAACATATTAAGAGCTGCAAMCAGCATTGGTAATTCAAGCAGCTTAAACTGTTTGAAATGAAAATGTTTAAAATTTTAGCATTAATCATTGATCATTATTATCATTTTAGGAAGAAATTCTTYCCTGTGAGGGTGGTGAGGCCCTGGCAGTGTCCAAGGCCAGGKTGGGCAGGGYTTGGAGCAGCCTGGGACASTGGAAGRTGTCCCTGCCCATGGCAGAGGYTGGAACTWAATGATCTTTAAGRTCCCTTCCAACACMAATCATTCTGGGATTCTCTGATTCTATTTATATTTAACATTTGGCTGTCTTTGTTTCACCTGGCTATGCATAAACCTAGTTGAAGAGCAAGCCTGTAAAATCAGTTCTTGGAGTTCAATCTGGTTTCAGTTGTTTATCTTCAATAACTTTATTTTCTTACATTTGATGTGATCTTTTCCACTGTGCAAAGCCTGTTCATGCTGCAGCTTCAGGAGGTTCTGGAGAGTTAAGTTAGAGATATTGGGACAGTAGGTCACTCTTCTAAGACAACTCAGGATATTTGACAGGTAATGTAAGGGCAAAGGTGATCATTTTGGGGCAGCAGCAACCTTCTTTTGACTCTTTTCTTTGTAAACACTTTTTTGGTGTCTTTTACACTCAGTATTTTCAGCTATCCCATGCTTTGGCTAGCAGGGCTGAAAGAAAAATTTAAAAGAGGAGGGACACCAAGGAGAATTATTCATGTGATCCAGAGSTCCTTGTGACCCCGAGATGACCTCAGAAAAGAGAACTGGGTGTATTAATTGTTGTGGTGACAGGAGTTTAGTCCTGCCTTTTTCCCAGTAAGGGACTTGGAGAAGAATCTGTGAGTGTGCACTGTATACCACAAACAAACACAGTGTATGGATCTGCTATGAGTGTGCAGGCTCAAAGCTTGAACTTCTGAAGAGGAAATCAGCTTGGAAATTAAAAAGGCACCAGGGCTCTGAAGGGTCTGTTTGGGAGATGTTCTAAAGCATTGGTTGGAGATGGTGTTTTGGGGAGTAGAGAACAGGTGTAGGGTGGTTAAACTGTTAGTCAGCCTGAACCTCTCTAACAGGTTATGCTTTGACATCATCAGCTGTGAACCCTCCAAAATGTTTGTCCCTGCCAGCCTTGGCAGTTTCGGGCAGGTCCTTCATCAGCAAATGTCACCAAATTACAGAATCCTCTTGAATGGTAGTGATGCCATCACGTGTGGTGATGGGTAGATAGAGAGCTGTGCTATTTTTATCTCTTGAACCCATTTTGTCTGGTCTGCTTCATCACAGAGGTGCAGTCATTTAGGTAAATCGGTCAGAGACACTGAATCTTTGTACAATTCCTCAAATAGAGAATTGATCCTTAAAGTGCTTTCCCTCAGCACTTGGGGGAATAATTTGCTGTAGAAGAAACTTCACAGCATTGAAGTGCATCACCCTGGCTTCCTGCCACCTCTRCCAGGTAAATCAGCTCCGAGTCGTGGCTGACAATATCAAATGAGGGTGACAGGAATGTTTGATGCTGGGATGAGATCATTCAGTCCTGTGCTCTGGATTTTGGTACGAGTCCAGTCTCTGCCTGCTCTAGGTCACTCCTTGTGTCTGTTAGAGGAGTTTGCAGTTGGTGGTTGCCTCTCTTGTCTGCAATTTCTGATAAAAAAGAGGTGCTCAGTTTGGTGATAGTTGGCTGAAAACACGCTGGGTTTTATTCAGGCAATTTCCTCCTTCCACCTTTTTTCTGGATGATGTGTTTCCTGCTTGAACAGGAACACAATGCTTATATGTGCTGACCATTTATATCAGCAAAAAGAATAGTCAGATTTCTGAGTTATGGTTGCAACGTTCTTCTGAAATCCTGTCCACCATCAGGAAGAGTGAAAGCTTCCAGAGGCTGCTGATGTTGGAAAACACAGCAGTTTATTTTGCTGCATGTAAGTGAAATATGTTTAAGATGCTTAGGAAATCATTCTGAAAATGCAGGATTTTTCTATTCAAATAGAGCTGTAACCTTCAGAGAGTCAGCGGTTCAGAGAGTTTAGTTATGGGTAGTTCCTTAAACGAAGATTTGGTGTGTTGTGAACTCAGCAGAAGGTTCTCTTGATGTGAAATTAAACTTTCATGTTCTTCATTGGTCTTTTCTTTCATCATGTTCCTGCCTTCCTTCCCTCAGAGTAGGCAGAACATCTGGAAATCCATGAGGATGACAAAGAAGAAGGTGACATTTGGGAAGGGACATAATAGTGATGGGACTTAGTGTGAAATAATCCTTTTCAGGTGTCTGACTGGTGTCCTGGAGGTGGAGAGTAGCTGTCCCAAGCAGGTTTTTTGACTTTTGATCTCTGCATCTCGCTCATTAAACTCTTTATTGGGTTGTTTTTTGCTTTCTTTTTAAGGCCTCTGGGTGGCCTAAGCACTGCCCTGCTTTTGGCTGGATTGGTTTTGCTGTTGGAGGCTGAGGAGAGCAGTGTGGAGGGATAACCTGCACAGTGGCAATTGTGGGAGGCAAGAGAGAAGATTGGGTTTGGGGTTTCTGCATCTTTTGGCATTTCAGTTCCCATCTGCTTGGAATGCCAGCAAGAGGGACTGGAATCAGTTTAGTCCACTGAAAATGCAAGGCTGTGATTACACCAAGCTGAAATCTCCAGCAGCATATTCAGGGAATTGTGAGGATTATTAATTTACCATTCATTCTAATTTTCTATTTTTTTTTACTCTATTTCAGTTTAAAATCTTGAAAATCCGTTAACACAGGCACAGGGCTCTGTTTATATAATTTTTCTGCTGGAAATATTCTGTAAGGATGTATACAGTGGAGAAGGCAGCCAGGTCAGCTTTGTGTTGAAAGCTGGGCCTTTGTAATCTGAAATACTTCAGCAAATAGTTCAAATCTATTCCACAAAACCTTATTACATTATAGTTAAGTAAAAGTGTGAGGAGAGGCAGGAATCCTGATAAATGAGAAGTTCTAAGAGGTGACAGTTGCCTGTGGTCTCRGTGGATCACTGTTGTCCACACTTAAATTTCAAGTGTCCAGTTTGTAACAGCGAATTGACACACTGTTTTAGGTTTTTGATACAAGTAATACTCAAAGTGTAATATTTTCTGTCCTGTGAATTGTCATTGTTGTTTATTCTGTTTTCTCCCTTGTGTTTCAGTTTTCTACTGGGAATCCAATATATGAAACTTATTACAAACAGGTACGTTCCTAAAAATATAAAGTAAAAATAAAGTACAGTTTCTTCTTCCCCAAGATTTCCTTCTCTTTCTTTTCCCCATTGCAGTGCTAATRAATTCTGAGTGGTGATGCAGTTTGTGYAACTCCTTTTGACYTAGWGRAGMSAGACATTGCATTTCTGAACTCTGCTTTCACARCAGTCATGTTTCAATTAARTGTTAWTTTTTTTCCTTCAGGTAGATCCAACATACACAGGGAGAGTTGGGGCAAATGAAGCTGCGCTGTTTCTTAAAAAATCAGGTCTCTCTGATGTCATCCTTGGAAAAGTAAGTTGAAATTGGACGATGCAGTAATTGTACACTTTTTTAAGTGAAAGAAAAAATATAAAAAGAAAAATTGTCTTTTGTGTAACATTTTTGTTGTTAACTCGACAATTTGATAACATCATATGTCATAACTCAAAAACTGAATGAAAACTTTAGGAAGACATACAGTAGGAGCTGTTGAGCTGTGTTAAGTTTTATTTGAAATTCACAATGGCTTTTATTTTGTGTCTTCACAGATATGGGATTTGGCTGACCCAGAGGGTAAAGGATACTTAGATAAACAGGTAAATGAACTATTCATGTAGATTTGCTGTATTTAAATCAAACCCTGATACCACTCGTGGTTATCTTTATGTTTTTCTGATTGAGTTTTTGTTTACAAGATGAGTTTTTTCCCCCAGCACTTGGTTATGAATCCAAGTGTTATTACTCAGTGAGGCTGYAGGAGAAGTTTGGTTCTAATTTTCTGTATTTCTTTTGTTTTGTAAATAATCAGTGTGCATGCTACATAGAGACACAGCCACTGAGTCACAAACACAAAATATGATTTTAATTTAGAAAACTTTCCTGCATGAAAAAAATCTAGCATTACTAAAAATGGCTTGAATTATCAAATAGCGAGTTGCTTATAGATACAGAWAAACTTTTTAAAAACATTATTAATTTTTAAGGAAAATTGTGGGAGTTTAATTATGAAAGAGTTCTTCATAAAAACTAATTTCCAATTTTCTGCTCTTTGTTTCCTGTTACTGTGAAATTTTTCCTGACTCATCTTTAAAAGCAAAGGGGTAGTTTTCATTATGGGGCTGTACATCTTTTTTTTTTTTTCACTGAGTTGCACAGTGTTAGCAAAAATCCTAAGTGGGTTCTTTTTTGTGATTGAAACTGTTTTTTAATGAATAATGCAATTATTTKTAGGGTTTCTATGTCGCCTTGCGCCTCGTAGCATGTGCACAGAATGGCCACGATGTCAACCTGAGCAGTCTGAATTTGACTGTGCCACCTCCTAAATTTGTAAGTAATTTCCTCCTAAATTCAGTTATATTTTAGGTGAGAGCTAAGGCTTTGGTTGGAACATTGGAATAATCTTTAATTTTGTAAATGTGGTGGTTCTGAGGCTTCTGTTCTTTAGGACACAGCAGCCAGGGCTGCCACAGTCTTGTCATCCCAAACCTGCAAAACCAATGCAAATTCAGGACAGCTTGGTCAGGAAGGTGATATGGAAAACCTCTGAATTTATGAAAAAAAAAAGGTTATTTTGGGGCTGGGTCAACAGGAGTGGGTGATAAAAGGCACAGCTGAAGATTTGCCCTGCAGAACCTCTTTTGCTTGTTTTGGGTTTATGTTTGGGTGCTGAATATCCTTACCCAAGCACTGTAATGCTGTAAAATGAGTGGGATTTTTACTGAGCTACATGTGCAGCCTGTTTTCCTCAGTGTAGAGAAGGTTCATGTCTGTAACCATCTCTAACTTCATTAATAAGTATTGGAGCAATTAGTAAGTATTGGAGACAGAAGTGTGTATTTATATATTTATATATATATAAATCTATATTTATAAAAATAAAGAATTCTCTAATTTTCAGCATGACTCTAGCAGTCCTTTGTTGATCACACCACCCTCAACAGAGACTCACTGGGCTGTTAGGGTAAGTGTAAAAAAGAACACATTCCATSAATTTTTTTAAAAGTAAATGCTTTCCTTGTGTGGAATTTTCCCAATGAGAGAATTTTGTAACAAATTGTATTTCCCATCTCAGAAATCCTCCCTTTCTGTGCAGATTCTTGCACGACAGAGAACACCCAGGTATAGTTTTATGTGTGCAAGAAAATTAAACAACCCTCTGAACCACCCCTGGTGTGATGTTTTTAAGACAATGAATTTTAATCTTCTGCCTGGATTTTTTCCAGAATCCTACAATTAGGCACTTTGTATAAAGGAACCCTGCTGGGAACAGCAAAGTATTTCACCAAATCCAGTCTGAAGTATTAATTTAAAGCTTGTTCTAATTAGTATTCAGTGATGCAAGCAATAGCTATCGCTTGGAAAAAGTAATTTTTGATGCAAATATGARGATATTTATATTTAATTAATTTTCAAATGCAAACATTCCCAAAAGGATGACATTTAATAAAATAACTTGTGGTTTAAACTTATAGTTTAAAGTGGGAAGCAAATTATTTGGGAAGAATAGGTTTTAATTCTTCAGAGCTTATAAAAATTTCTTTAAAACAGAAGCACACCTTCTCTGCTGCATGGTAAAATCTCTCAGCTGTCATAACCTTAGATTTAGGAGCTTAATTTTAAAACTTTCTCCGTGGGTTTACATTTAAATACAGCACTTGCAAGAAAACTCAGAAATTTAGGATGAATATTTTGCTCACTAGTCTTAATTTCTTGCAAGATCTCATTGTCAATACTCACACAGACACACTTTTTTACTTATTCAGACTATTTCTTACCAACTAGGTGGAAGAAAAAGCAAAGTTTGATGGTATTTTTGAAAGCCTTTTGCCAGTAAATGGTTTACTTTCAGGAGACAAAGTAAAACCAGTACTGATGAATTCAAAGCTACCTCTTGATATCCTTGGAAGGGTAAGTGAGCTGTTTGGATTTAGCTGGATTCTACTTAGCTTCTTGTAGTTAAAAATGGGATTAAAATGTAGTTTAAAAAGTTAAAATGCTTCTTGCAGTGTTAAAAATGTGATTTATCAACATGGATCAGGTTTTGGCTGAAATTTTGCATCGTGTGCATGCTAGAAAGCAGGAACATCAAGACTTTGAGGTTTTCCACTTAGAAATATAAGAATAAGAGTAGCAATTTCTGCCCTAGAATAGATTGGCTTCACTATCTCTTCATTTAAGAGCTGGRARTTTGATTTTGATTGTTTAAAGACAAGAWAAAGCTTTCCTAAGCTGTAATAGCTGTTAGAACATTAGATTCTGCTGTTCTGTCATTTTTACAAATAAGAGTTATTAGACTTGCCATTAAATCCATCCCCTATTTGYACAGGAGRATACCTTAAAACATCCTCCTTTATSGTAGCTGTCAAATTGTCAAGTTGTTTTCTAGTCCATGTGAATTTATAAACACTTCCAAGCTCTGAGTTTAGTGCATCCATTGCATATTTGCAAGGGAAGCAGACCTGAAAATATTTTTCTGCCTCCATTTAAACCACATTCTTTAATGCTTTGCATATTGATATGCTTGAGAGTGAGTACATTTTATCTCTTCAGGAAGAACTGCCTCTTGCTCTATATTATCTGCAAATTTGGAGTATGATTTGTTGTAATTTGTTTTAATTCCATACTTGAATATTGCAAAGTCTTGAAAGGCTTTGGATTTTGTCTTGTTGTTGCCACAATAGAAATCCAGGAAGCTTTTGCCTCTTCCAGAAAAGTTTGTGGATGAGATAAGGGACTGAGGAAATGGGCAAAGGACTGATCAAGGAACTTAAATTTGTCAAGGGGCCARTGATGAAGCAGAATTCTCATAATAAAGCAGACAAAAATCCAAGACTTGAGGCTGAATTATCTCCAAGTCATATTGGTGATCAAACARTACTGGTGGTGGAGTTCCCAAAGTTTTATATCCCTCTAAATGTTCTGCAATTTTCATTGACCMAATAGTGAACTAAAGCTGATCAATGCTGAAATTCTCTCCCACAGGAAATTCAGGGGGCCAGAGGGAGCTGCACAGGGTTTTAGTTTTGAGTAGAAAACCCTCCTCACCTAGGAATGGAATAGGAATTAGAAATGTCTAGGAATGGAATAGGAATTAGGAATGTCTAGGAATGGAATAGGAATTAGGAATGTCTAGGAATGGAATAGGAATTAGGAATGTCTGGGAATGGGATAGGAATTAGGAATGTCTGGGAATGGGATAGGAATTAGGAATGTCTGGGAATGGGATAGGAATTAGGAATATTTAGGAATGGAATAAGAATTATAAACGTATTGACTTTTCTGTTGAACTTTCTTTAGATGAATTTCAATGATCTGCTTGCCCACACCCTCTGGCCAKTTCTGAAAGCCACCTCTGAAGGCTTTTAGTCATCTTCATGACTCTGTAATTGCATCATAGAAAGGTGAAAAACCTGCCTGTGTTACAGGCAGAATTTGTCAGAGCCAGTGGTGATTCATGTGGTCAGAAAACTCTGGTTCAGTCTGTTTCATCAGAAAATGTGGCCAGAAAACTCAGAATTCAGCCTGTTTCATCAGAAAATGTTTAGATAGGTGTAATGAAACCGATGTGATCTTCACCAAAATCTATTAGGAATCTTCAGTGAAGGCATGTTAATATAGGATTACCTAAAGTGTAACTTGCTCTGCAAATCATTTTTAATCTTAATTGCTGTAGGTCTGGGATCTCAGCGATATTGATAAAGATGGTCACCTGGACAAGGATGAATTTGCAGTGGTAGGTTGCTTTAAATTCTCAATTCACAGTCTAGTCTTGTCTATCAAAGCAAAAAAAAAAAAAGCTCATTTTTTTTTCTTAAGATCTTTGCAGCTTTCTGTGCTGCACTCGACCATTCTAATCTAAATTGTTCACATGGAGCTATTAAATGACCTTCCTCAAATCCATCTTGCCTGTGTCAAGATTGAACTTGTTGGAATTACATTCCAAATTATTTGCTCTGGTTTACATCTCTAATCTCACTGTCTTTGTTTTACTGATACATAAATGACTTAACACGGGAAGATGTTGTCGCTTTTTCTAATAATTGTGAACGTTACCTGACCTTTTTGCCTTTTGCAGGCAATGCATTTGGTTTATAGAGCTCTTGAGAAAGAGTCAGTTCCTTCACAGTTGCCCCCTTCTCTCATACCACCTTCTAAAAGAAAGAAGACACCGGTTTTTCCTGGAGCAGTCCCTGTTCTCCCTGCCAGCCCTCCACCCAAAGACAGCCTTCGTTCTACCCCATCCCATGGCAGTGGCAGCAGCCTCAACAGCATAGGGAACTTATCTCCCAAGCACAGCATCAAACAAGCACAGGTAAACCTCTTTCTTTCAGATTTTTGTCGTTTTGTCAATTAATTTTCCAACCCTCTGGGAGCTGGAGGGGAAAGAAATCCTCTTTTTGATTTTCTGCCTCGCGTGCGAGCGCTGGCGTTGGGGTGGAGAGGATAAAATGAGAATGGAGAGGCTTGGAAGAACAGAAAAACAGCAGGTGGATTTTAATCAGAGTGCCCACRAGGTAGCAAATCTTATGGGGAATTTTCACTTTGTGTGGAAAGCGAAAACATAGAAAAACATACCAAAAAAMCCCCATAAAAAACATAGAAACCATAGAAAAGTTTTATTTATGTATCTGTTTAACACCAAAGAAATCATTAATCTCCTCCTAAATCTCCTGTTATTATCACAAGGACTTTATAAGCCTAGATGGGTCTTATGAATTAATTAATTTCCAAAGAATTAATGCTTTTCAACTGATGWATAGCTGTTCAGCAATGTTTTCATTCAGATAAGAAAGTGTGGAGTTAAAACAAGCAGTGAAAATATTTATTTACCAGTCAAACTGGAGTATGGAAGATGYTCAGCACATCCAGCTCTGGATAATGTCATTTATACTCAGTGTATCCATAAAGACTGTTTTTCTTCTGAAATTTGAAATTTCTTTTGCAGCCAGCTGTGAATTGGGTGGTACCAATGTCTGAAAAAGTACGATACGATGAAATTTTCTTAAAAACGGACACAGACATGGATGGGTTTGTGAGTGGCCARGAAGTAAAGGACATTTTTATGCATTCAGGTCTGTCTCAGAATCTCCTAGCTCATATATGGTAAGAATTCCCTACTAGCTGTGTTTTTTAGATTCAAAATTTGATCCTAACATTAAAAAAAAAAATAACCCAACCTCTTTTGCTTGTCCCCATACTGTAAAATATGGKCTGTGTGGAAAATGAAGGGAGAAATAAATATTCCCTTTGCTTTTCTGGGAGAGGGGGCAATAGGTCACTCTGTGAATTGTGATTTTCTTTTGAAGTTCTAATGCTCCAAATATTTTCTCAGAGTAACACTATGCAGTCAAATATATATAATAAAATACTGCTCTGTTTATGGAGCTCTAACTAGAAGAAGTAACCTCTGATTCAAAAGGAAATTTCACGTGTATATATGATTTTCAGGGCTCAAATATTTTCTTAGAATAACACTATTCAGTCAAATACATGTAATAAAATACATTTTTTGTACATATATAATAAAAATATTTATGGAACTCTTAACTAGAATAGGTAACCTCTGATGAGGATGATTGTAAAGGAAATTATACATGGATTTGTGGATATATTTTGGGCTTTTTGGTTGAGCAGAAATAAGATTTTCATGTTTATAAATATGATTTATTTTTTACCAGGGCTTTGGCAGACACGAGGCAGATGGGAAAGCTCAGCAAGGACCAGTTTGCCCTGGCCATGTATCTCATCCAGCAGAAAGTCAGCAAAGGGATTGACCCTCCCCAGGTTTTATCTCCAGATATGATCCCTCCCACAGAGAGGAACACWCCCATCCAGGTAAGGCAGTGATTTATTGTAGATAAAATTGAATTTATCTGCTTTAAAAGTACTCTGAGTAKGAATTTTATTTTTTTTTATTATGGTAAAGAACTGCCAGTATTGTTTCTTAGCTCCTCTCACAAAATTATTGTGACATTTTAAAATACAGCTAAATTTTTAATAACCAAGAGAATAAATAAAAAAATTGCAGTAAAATATTCCATCAGCCAAGGAGTAATAATGCTGAAAAAGAAAATCCTGCATAAAAAATAATCCTTTGTCAGAGAGAAGGTTGAGTTTGTGGCAGCTGCTGGTTGAGCAGCCTCTSTCTGACTGATCAGCACTAAATTCTTCCCATGGAAACATAAAATTTTTTAATGGCCAAATRAGGAGTGATGACTTCCTAATTTCTGGGATTCATCCTTTGTGGCGTGCCAGTCCACATGAAAGTGAAACTTTCCCTTTATCATATATTTCCTTATTTCCAAAAGAAGCCCCACAAATTTCTGCTTTACAGTGAGCTGTATTTATTACATATCTCAGTAAAAAACATTTTCCCTTTCTGAAAGGATGGTTCTCTTTTGCTTAAATAATTCCAGCATCATCTTTCTCATTTATTATGACTTTTTTCAGTCAGAATTTTTTCCCAGGTCCTSTATCCATCACTGCTAAACCATTTTACTGCAGCATCTGATGCTTTGCTGACCCTGCTTTGTTTCTCTCCTCCCTAACGTGTCAGTGCATTTCTGACACTGAAATGAAGAAACACTTCTGTCATGTCAATGCATTCACCTTTTTTTCTACATTATATTGTATTTTTCTTTACTTTTTTTTTTGTTCTCCCTCATCAGAAACCTTTGGAACTCTGAATATMATTTAATAATTGCTGTTGCTGTGGTCCTCCTAAGGTTTTTCCTATATCCTTTTCCTATAGACTCTGTCAGGTTACTTGACCCCTGTAGGAAGTGAGATCTCAGCCCTAACAGAAATGCGGCGTGTGAGTAACTGCCATGTCCAAAAAAGGAATGCACTTTTTTTTCCATGTATGCTTTTTGTAACTTCCAAAACCAAAATTTTTATTTCTACACCTTTGCCTGTCTCTGCTCTCGAGTTCTGTGCCACTTGCTCTTGGCATGGTKATAATGTCACAGCAGGGTGAAGTGCCCAGTGCTGGCTGCCAACCTGCTGATGTTCCCTCCTTCCTTCCACAACTGCAGATGTGTTTGGCAGGAAATTTCTGGAACAGGCAGCTCAGTGCTGTTGAAATTATTCCTGGATTATTTCTCTGCAGCTGTGAGCAATAAATGCATCTTGGTTACTTCAGCTTCCTGCTGTTACCAGTTAATTGCAATTTTTTTTCCATTTTTTTTTTCTGAGCATAAGATAAAATGTGTAAATTCTATTTATGTATTTTAGCTTTAAAATAAAATAAACTATAATAAAAAACTGTAAATAAAATGCTGTGAGCTTGGTTCAGTGACTCTTCTAACCAGTGCAGCAGCTCATTTGAACTTATTTCATGGTCATGGTTGGTGACACCTGGCTGTGATCCTGCTTAGCATTCAGTAAAAATGATTTTCAATTTGCTGCCCTGAGGAATTAGTCTGTGTTGTTGTTATTTGTGATTAATTAATGGTATATTACCAAAAAAACAATCCCCCAAAAGTGAAGACTTAATTAAACTATTTAAACTGGATATTCACCTATTGTTTCCACAAAAATGTCACATTTTACTCTGCTGGTTCTGGATTATTGGTTGAGTTCTTGTTTGTTTTTTAATATTTAATAAAGCTGAGCTTTTGTGGTTATCACAGCAGTCTCAAAGTGATTGAAGCAAGCAAATTATTCATTCTTCTTTTTAAAAAGCTGCATAAAAGTTGCAGGTCTCCTGCTCTCTCTAGCAGTGAGTTAGTGCTGCAGCTTTTGCTCATCTGTAGTGTTTTTTTTTTTTCCAAGAGCAATAATTTTTATAATAACAGCCAATTTGGTACCTAATGCTGACATCCTTTCTCAACTTCTGATAGTGATTCTCTTATCTAGAAGGCAGAGGATGCCCTCTGCATCTTCCCYGAATGAATGTAAAAATGACCTACAGGAAATGGGGCATAATTGCAGAAATCGCCATTCATTTGAGGCTCAAGAAGTGAATTACAATGTGATTTCTTTAAATCCACTGAAAACTTTACTATTGACTGTAGGAGAGCTGAATTTTAGGTTTTGAATTTTAATTTTACCACGATCTGCAGTTTCCTCGTTGGCACTGTGCACGTCCCCTCACTGCTGTGTGTTCAACTGTCCTGCCTGTTAAACAGGAACATTCAAATTCTCCTGTTTCAGGGCAGAATTGTGTGGCATGTTCCCTGCTTGTTGCAGAATAATTTCATGTCTCTCATGGAATTTTACAAATTTAATGAGGATTTTATATCCCACGTCCATCCTCAGCCTTTATTAAAAGAAGAGTTTCTGTTATAACATCACATTTTAATTGATTGTTTCATTCTTAACAGGACAGTGCAAGTTCTGTTGGATCAGGAGAATTCACAGGGGTGAAGGAGCTGGATGATATCAGTCAGGAAATTGCTCAGCTGCAGAGGTAATAATTTATATTTTTTTTTATGAAATAAATCACAGTGCTGATGTATCAGTTACTTTTATTTTAATAATTTTGTCATTATTTGTTGCTCTCATTGGTGACCTAGTGATGCCCTAGAGGTTATTTCAGAAGATTGATAATGGGCACAGATGGTATTTTTCAAAGAATAATTGATACATATGCACCTTTTCTCCTTTAAAGAATACATGGGCTGGTATTTTTGGCTGCATGATATTTCCAGAATAATAYTGAATTGATTTTTGCACGTTTGTTATATTATTTAACTAATCACAAATATGTGTTCTTGTTTATCTGACAGAGARAAATATTCCCTAGAGCAGGACATTAGGGAAAAGGAAGAATCAATCAGACAGAAAACCAATGAAGTTCAGGTAAAAACTCTGTTTATCATTAATAGTTTTTAATCTAAATAATACATGGCAATTGAGCATTTTTTGTTGTTCTGTCACTCTGTTATTCTTTCTGTTGTTCTGTCTTTCTTGGGATTTTCCTCTAACTTAAGGAAAGAATTTAATTTTACTGTTCTYCATCAGAAATCTTTCATCTGATGCTGGCCAATATAAGCACAGTATATATAAACAGTTGGAAATATCTTTTTTGTTAGTKCTTAACTGACACTGTAATTTAGGAAATCATTGTTTGGAGAGTATTAGTAATTTGAAAATTTGATAATTTGGATAACTTGATATGGTGTACTCTGTGTCACTTTTGTGTCTTCTTATTTATAGATTTATTATTATTTATTTATAGATTTATTTCCTATTTCTCGCACAAATTCCTGCAAAAACCAAACAGGCCAATGCAGGGTGCAGCCTTTATGATGTAGAAAATATTTTGAATTTTGCTAATTTCTTTGTCTGTGCCTGATCCTTCCTTAATACAACAGCTAAATGTGAGTTACAAACCGTGCAATTTTCTCTGCAGGAACTGCAAAATGATTTAGACAGGGAAACGAGTAACTTGCAAGAGCTGGAGGCTCAAAAACAGGATGCCCAAGACCGCCTGGATGAGATGGACCAGCAGAAAGCCAAACTGAAGGATATGCTGAGTGATGTGAGGCAGAAATGCCAGGAGGAAACACAGGTGGTGAGTGGATGTTCATTCTGGACATGCTCAAGTGTGTTATGTCTTGAGAGAAATTCTGTTTATTTAATAAATAACCCCCTTTTCCTTTTCCTTTTCCTTTTCCTTTTCCTTTTCCTTTTCCTTTTCCTTTTCCTTTTCCTTTTCCTTTTCCTTTTCCTTTTCCTTTTCCTTT